TACCTTGACTCTCTGCGCATCAGCTCTCCTTCTCTGAAATAGGATAATGACACCTTTTCATCCCACACGAGTACTCTGCAGAGAAATGAATTAAAGTCTGCATGGCACATGGATACTAGTGTGATGAGTAAGATAAAAAGAGCAAAAGGAAATTAAATAGTCCTGTCTCCAGAAGAGAATTTGAACTGAGAATGAACAGTGGTATACCTGATTTATCAATCGAGCTCTGAAACTTACAAAGAAAAGAAACCAACAGAGGATATGATCACTTTAACTAGAGGCATTATCAGACTGAACAAAAACGGGGGAATTAAGGTTAAAGGGGGGAATATAAGGTTACAAAGACAGCCTTAAAGTTAATGTTACCTAACTTGGAGCACGTGACCCAGCATCCCTAATAATATTATTTTAACATAATTTTTATGTGTAATTATTTATAAAGCTCCAGACAGTAGGTGTGCATGATGCTTTATAGGCATATAAAATTGTCTGATCCCTGCCCCTAGGAGCTTGCGTGATGACACCACACAAGGGATGGGAAAGGAGGGGGTATGGGAGGACAGAGTTGCAACACTGTGAGATCATGAGATGTACTTACTGCTACATAAGCAACATTTCAGCTTCTCTGTGGTTTTCTTGTTACTCATTTAACACTATATATTAAAATTCAGTGAACAGATACATAACACAAAGAAATCAACCATAAGGAAGGATATGAAGAAAGAGAACTATGCAGTACAATGTTCAGAGTCAGCAGTTAGTATTAAAACATTCACAGTCAACGCTGCATGTAGTCAATTATTTATATGGGGTTAGCCCTCGGCACCTCCAGCTAAGGTCTGGATTCTGCTCCACCAGGCACTGTACAAACATATCGTGACATACGATAGCTGCATTAATGGTTTCTACTGTAACAAAAACCAGTTCATGGTGGAGAGACGAAGACAATTGAACAGGTTAGAGACAGAGCCAAGGGTAGAATTAGAGTGTTTTCATATTTGAGTTGATATTCTACACTAGGATTAAGACTGCTTGAACAAGAATCCCAAAACAAAACAGAGCGCACTTGCAAGCTGCTTCCATCTATTGGAAAACAAAACTATGGAGGAAAGACCCCAGCTTGGAAACCGTGGAATCTGGGGACCTTCTTTTAGAAATTTCTACTTCTGTGCTCTGAGACTGGAGCTCTGCTGTGGTTGTCACTTCTGCATGTGCAAAGCCCATGGTACGTGCCATTTCTGACCTGGCCATCCCACTATATTGCTATGTGCAGGCAAACCCATCACATGTTGAAGAAAGCACCCTTAAATGCTCATAACTTTCCTTGACTTCAGCAGCAGATGAGGGGCAGACCCTACTGTGGTATTTTAATGCTATTAGCATTTCAGCTACACAGAGACCACCCAGGCCATCCAGTAAACAATTCCAGAAACTCTAGGAAAAAATTAATTTAAAATTAAACAAACAATTAACCAAAGTAAGCTAAATAGCGAAGTACTCTTGATCTCTTAGCGCACAGGCTAAGACTCTGGACCAAACCTAGGTAAGAACTGTGGACTTGATTCTGCTCTTCACTGCAGTTCTTCACAATGTATGTGCAAAATACCTCTTGGATTTTCTTTATAGCCCTTCACACTCCAAATATAATTTGCTTGCACTTTAAGAATATTTTTCACAGTCCACAGAGTACAAAATTATTTTAGTATACAGCATTATAAATTCTTAGGCATTAGTTACTTCACTGGGTGAAAACCCCAAGTTTTAGTCAGCTTTACAATTTAAAATGACAAGGTAAATATTTCCATTATTCTTATCAAACTTTTTTTCCCAAGCTTTGGCCAAATTAGTCACTAAATAAAATTTCAGGCTTCAGCGGAGCTCAGATTCAAGGAGGACTCCGATTCACTGCTGCTAACCATTGCTACTTTACAATAGCAACATGTTCTCCCATTTCTTTGTTCTTATCTTCCTTTTAGAACTGAGTTACATCTTGGTACATGGACTAGAAAAAGATAGAAAGAAAGGAATGAATAAACTCCATGTAAAATTTTCTTTTAAGTTTTTTGTAGCTTATGGAACATAATTAAAATTTTGTTTAGCTTGGTATCAATTATTCACATGAACTGCACTTAGACCTTCCTGCGAATCTGGGAGGCTGATTTGGTCCTGAAAGTAGTCTGTTCATCACAAGAACTACACACAATCTCAGAGCTCCCAACAGGTTTTATTAGTGGGGTGCCAGCTGTTCCAACAGTGGAAGTTGAAATTGGTGTTCTCCAAATTTGGCTGTACTCAAAATTGTACTCAGAATTGATTTACATCCCATTAAAACAAGGATTCATACGATCAGGTTTTAAAAAAACTCATTTTTTTCCTTGCTTCTATACTTAGGAAGTGGCTTTTGAACACATAGCAACTTGACCTTCAGAAGGATTTAGACGAGCATGATTTCGAACTAAACTAAATTCCACTTTTAACCTTGTTTACAAACATTCAGAGCATAAAAATTAAAAGGATACTACTATCAGCATTGTTACGGTGGCAGTCTGAATGTTTGCTGACTTAAGATTAAAATAAATCACAAATGTTAAGTTTCTGCTATACCCTAAAGTTGATCTGAAGCAATTTTGCTGTCCCAAAGCCTAAAAAATAAGTAGAATTTCTGAAAAATAACTGCACTCCCCAAACAACAATTTCATGATCCTATTTCTGTCTAAAACCACTCTTCTTAAATTATGGACATATCAGATAAATACAGAATATTTATCACAATGCAATCACAGAAAAGATTAAGTTGGAAGCCTAACCCAACCTCTTGCTCCAAGCATGGATAATCTCAAAGCCAGACCAGGCTGCCCAAGGCTTTGCCTGGTTGAGTCCTGAGAACCTCCACGCATGAAGATTCCCCAGCCTCTTGGGGCAACCTTTCACTGCTTAACCACTCCTGTTTTGAGGAATTTCCTCTTTATATTCAATTTTTATTTCCTGTACAGCAGCTGGTGATGGTTGCCTCTTGTCCTTTCACTCTGCACCCCGAGAAGCCTCACAGTCCTGCTTTTGTTTAGGGAAAAACAGTCAGGTCCCTCCTCACCCACATTGATTTTGGAAGGTGAACAACATGGCTCTCTCCATCTCATACTCTGTGTACTCCAGTGCCCCAGCCCTCTCGGTGGCTCTCCTCTGGGCTTCCTCCAGTTTGCCAACCTCTCTCTTGCATCGGGGGCCCAAGAATGGACACACAGCACTGGCCTCACAGCAGGCTGCAATGGGTAGTACACCACACCATCCACACAGCTTCCACTCCTTTTGCTGAGTAAGACCCCTAAGCAGCAGTCCTGCCGGCCAGCTTAGGAAATACCCCCTTGTGTCTTCTATGTGCACTCTTGCCAACTATCAAAAATTTTGTGTGTTTGTGTGGCAAAGGTAAATCTCAATGCAATGTACAGAGTGTGTACCTTTGGCTGAAGTGAAAGATGGCGAGGTTACTGACTTCCAAGAGGGAGTGTGTCACAATGGCCTGTGGCCAATCTCTTATTTGATTACCCTCCCCCCCCGCCCCAAAATGTCTGAAATATTTTTCGCTGATTAGTATTGCTCTTAAAGAGCTTTGCTTTGATGCCTGTGCTCAACATTATGGTAATGGTAATCACTTTAAATCCTATATTTTCAGGAAAGTTGGGATTGCTTGATTATTTTACAAGACCCAATCTAAGTCTACTGAAATTAATGGGTTGCCTTTTTGGATCAGGTTGGGAATGTTAATCGCAGTTACTATACTAGTCTATCTAATCCTCCAAATAGAGACTGCATCAGGACCTAAGAAACTGTAAAAGGACAGATAATGAGAAAAATGTATTGTTGAGAAAGTATTTAAGTGAGGCTTGACCTTGTCTCCTTTGATATTGATGGATAAAGAAAAGATCATTCCAATAGGTTAAATACCAACTTTGGCCTAATTTATCCCTGATTTATCACCCACTGCATGATCCAAGATGAAGTTCTCCCTCAGAAATGTGTGGAAGGAAATAAGTAGGTCATGATACATGCTCTTATGAAGGGGCTACAGATTAGCAGCTGAATGGAGAGAGACCAGAAAGCACAGACTTTGTGTCAACTGAGAATTCAGAGGAATTTCTGGCCCCTGTCCCATGACTCTGCAGCATCACACAGAGCGGATCCCTGTCAGTATTACTAGGCCACCCTCCTTGCTGGAGGCACAGCTTCCTATTTGGCCAGTTTGTATTTGCAAAGTCCTATAAATTTTGGGTTCCCTTTACAGCCCTGCCACCAACTATGTGAGTTTTGGCAAACAAACAGTGTCAGAGTCACTTGTGCTTGAAGGCAGTTTCTAGTTAAATTCGAGGTTCTTGTATTTTCTTGCAAAAACTGCAGGAAAATGTTTATTTGGGGGTGGGGGGGTGGGGGGAAAAGGAAATATGCTGAAAAAAACCCCTAAACCCAAGGTATAACTCCAGTGGAGGTTACCATTAGGTGAACATATATATGCATGCACACATCCACAAACCAATCCCCAAAGTTCACTGAATACAATCCTTCTCCACCTGGCTTTCAGTGCCCTGAATTCCTCCATTTTATGAATTTTCCATTTTATGAATTTTCCATTTTATGACCTGCATGTCATTTTTCTAGATCAATATATAGTAACATTTTAAGCACTTCATATGCTATCAGAATGACAAAATAAACCAAACTCTAACTAAATTATTTCAGACTTCTTGGAGAAATCAACTCTGGAGGGCAGCGGTCTTTTGCAAGAAATGTAACTACAAGTTCAAACAGAAAAGTGACCTTTGCCTGTTGCTACAAGTATGTCACTGGAGGCGATTTGGCAGTGAGCTTTTCACTGGGAGGAGTCACTTGGCATTGGTACTGGTTTATGAAAGAGCAGAAGAAAGCAGAAGTTGGTTTTCTTAAATGATTCCCTACAAGAAGGACATGCAAGGTATTTACCAACAGCTGACTGCAAATAAATGTTTTACCTCTGTGGAGCACTGTCAGATTCCATGCTATTGCAGTAGGCGTTCTTTAAAGAGCATGTCTCTGTGCCATACACTGCATCTGCCTCAGCTGATTCCATGTAGCCATTGACCAGCTTGATGTCTTTCAACTTCATACTGTCACTTTGTGAATCCAAAGATACAATGTCAGATGGAGAGCTCACAACACCCGAGTCTTCCGTGGTGTCCTCAGATGCAAAACAGCTGCCTTCTGATGCTGTTTCTTCCACCTCTGATAGCTCCAGAACCGTGTCATCCACTACATAAACATTATCATGTGCAGGCAGCAGGCTCTCTAAATGAAATATAGCAAGGAAAGTTAGCTGCAAGTCATCAGCACATAAATCAAACACAGAGAGCTATTCCTTTGTAATTGGAAAAAACATGAAATACATTAGAAATAGTAGGATGGAGCTAAATATTTGTATATAGGATAAAGATTATGTGAAAAGGTGGTTTGCTATGCCTGTCCTGAGGAGTTTGGGTTTTATAACTTTCATAGCAAATCAGTTTCCTTAATTCTATGAAGGAACAACTTTCCAGGGACAGTTTCTTGGGGAATTAGACTGAAGTTTAACAGATGTGGTGCAAGAAATTACTCCCATTATTGCGTCTGACAACATCATCTCATTGTTCCTTTTCCATGCTGCCAAATGGATCATGACATTTCCAATAACGTCTATACACCAGTAAAAACCTGCAGCATTTCCCAGTCAGGACACTGAAATGGTAAACTAGATCTACTGCTGGCCCACTGGGTATAACTTTATTTTACTACCCTTCAGTTTCCTATCCATTAACTGGGAGAATAATAATCATCTTTTTCAAAGCATACAAAATCTACTAACAAGAGTACAGAAAAGCAGACACTGTAATGCTTAAAGCAGAACCTTTTCCAAGGTTCCAAGGTTTCCAAGTTATTTAAAAAGGAGATCAAGGGATACACCCTTTGCATGTTTAACTCTATTACAAGTTGCAAATCTTGAGAGAAGGTTAGACATAGTACAATTTTTTTGTACTGTTTTAGTTTGGTTCTTATGAGCTACTTGGGTCTTCTTTTGTTTTCGGGTGGATATTTTGATGAAAAATATGATTTTGTTATTTTCTTTAAGAAATGTACAACTCTGGACTCCATCCTGCAAAATATACCATTAAAGGGGAACTCCCAACAAGGTCAGTAATTTCTATTGAGTGACCAAAGACAGACTCAAGCCCAAACACACTTCTTTTGCTCAGAAGAAATCAATAAAGACTAATCTAAATGTTTAATTAGGAATTACAAGCATGCTCCATTCTCTTCAACCTCAGTAAGCAAAAGGAAGATTAAACAATAGTTTATGGCCTGATCCTGCAGACACTTGGGGTGCCTGTTAATTATATGAGAAGTCCCAGGTCTACAAGCATGACTAAGGTTAAACATACACTTCACTGTTTTCTAGGGTCAGAATCTACAACTTTTTTAAGCATACATGAAACCGAAAACAACTTTGTCAAAAAATGTCATAGAAATAATCTTGAAAGGGTGTAGCTTAGCAGTGAAGCTTTGAGTAAAACTAAAATAAAAATCAAACCAACATTCTCCTTGGCTGAGGTTACAAGATGCCATTAAGTACTGAAATTGATTTCTGACAGCAGAAGCAATAAAATTCAGACGGTTACAAATCATGATTAAAGTTGTAAGTGCTGTCAAGCATCAATATTAATGATGGAAGATGATCCAAAGACTCTATTGCGACTTTGGAAGTAATGTTATTTGATTTCTTTGACCTTATTTTCTGTAACATTAGCTTTAAGTTCTAGATTTAATCCAAGAGATCATTCCATCTAAAAATGTCAATTACAGGAACTAAGTATGTGCCACTGAATGGATTAGGGTATGCTTATGTCAGAACTACCGTTAGGAAAACATCAACATCAAGGAGAAACATGAACAATTCAACATTAAACACCGAGTAATAAAATCCCAGAAAAATAGACAGTAAATGAACAGATAAGAGTAGATGGCCTGCTGGGCTTTCAAACACAAAAAACCCCAGTAATAACCCACCACCAAAGCATTAGTAAAAGCTACAATGAGTTAAAGCCAAAACAAAGTAGGATAGCAAAGAAATCGGTTGAAAGAGTGGAAGTTGAAGAGTGGAAACACACAGGAAGATTTTGAAGTAATGCACAATGCAGTACACTTTGATGCAAAGAGACCTTTATAACACAGGCCACAGCTGTTGTCACCAGGATACCATAAATGACGTCCACCCTATAGCTGGAACAGCAATTTGTAACAAAGTGCCTACGTCCAGTTCCTGACATGAGGATGGCAGGCTTTTCCTCCCTTGCCGTGTCTCTCATTTCCTCATCCTCTTCTCACCTGCCTGCAACTACTCTCAGCTCAAGGATTTAGATCCATTTGGTCCGACAGCCCTACTTGCCTACGGTAGGAACAACACTCAAGTCTCTCCTGATGTGATTCAGCAAGCTGCCCTACAGTAGGATTTCTATCCCCCAAACCATTCTTCCTACACACTGACAAACAAAAAACCCCAAACAATCCTCCTACTATCAGGGTCCATGTGCGAACTGATCCCTATCTTTTACATCCTGGATCTCAGCAGCTGAATCATCCAGTCCAGTGTAAGCATCTCCACATTCAACAACAGTTTTATCCTGAAGCACAGAACCAAAGACAGACATCTTTCTATTCAGTAATTAAATTCCCTGTGCTCAAGCAAAACCAAAATTTCCCCCTTTCTTCAAGCCTATAAGTTTGCCAAAGTGTTTCCATAATCTTTTCATCGAGAAGATCCATTAATTTTTAACACAGTTAACACATGGCACTGAACAAAGTTGCTGGCTGAGGCAAACCATGCTGATTGCCACTACTACTTGTCTGAACATGAAAGCACGCACATAAAACACGACTGTTACGGTTCTGTCATGTTAACAATCTTGTTTCAGCGAAGAACAGCACTAAAAGACCCCTGTTTTAAAGTTGAGCCATCCTTGGATGGATTAAGCATCTATTTTTCCTTCTACATGCTTGATTAAGTCTTCACTGGTGCAAACTGAAGATGGATGGGCATTACCGGGTAACGACACATTACATGAAAAAAGACTACCTAACTTTACTGAGTGTTCTTGACTCCAGGAGTCAGAAAACACCTTTTAAAACTTTCTAATTCTACACAGAGAACTGGGTAGTAGAACACACAGTAGTAGATGTGATTCTGCCTTGTGATTTTTACGTATTTTTTATCAGATCACACATGCAGAACACCACCACACACTAAGCACATTGTGATCATAATAGCAGCTATCGAGGCTATTAGTTGGTTGAATAAAGACAAATGTCAACACTTGTTTCTTCTCTGTTATGACACAAAGAATATTTCAATATGGACTCTGATCTTCAAGACCTCATGTAGACACATCCAGGTTAAGAGAGAATATTCAGCAAGTACTTCAGGACTGGCCACACAAAGAACAATTGCTGCAGATAACATATTACTGGAACACTGCTGTACCTCAGAAGACTGCCTGTGTTTCCAAGTATGTAACAACGCTATGATCTTTTTTTCAGTAACACGGCCCCATTCACTGGCTTCAGGTGGGGTGTGATATTGAAGGGGGTGTAGAACTTGGCCTGTGGTCTCCAAGTCATATTGAAATCTCTGTGGGACATCTCACCAGCAAGTGAAATTGCAGAGTGTCCCTCAATGCCCTGCATTGCCACTTGGCTACCTCCTGCTCCAGGCTGCACACTGTGCAAAGCCCAAATGAGTGCCCTGCAAGGGATTTCCCCTGCTTAGCAGAAGCAGCACTGTCACTGCACAATTAGGTCAACCACAAGTTACGAAGGACTTCTTGCAGGGGGATTGGGATGGCTGATTGCAAGTGGAAAGAGGAGAGTAGCTCATCAGTAAAGAATGTGAGCTTCTTGTTTAACACAAAAGAGATCTTGTCGCTTTAATCTCAATAGGCTGTAAGTAATTAGGAAAACACTGAACTCTGAGTTTAGAGGAGTCATATCTGCACTAGTGCAGTTTGATATCACATATATGTACACATTACTCATACAGAATGCCAATGATGGGGAGACAGATAAACCTCACCTGGTTTAAATGCTTATCTGCACTTTCAGAAATGAAGATTTAATTCAACTACTGTAAGGATAATATTCATTTGGATTACTGCTACCACCAACTTTGAACGAGATTAGAATCAGACCTAAGCGTTCAAAAGACATATATCCTATCCAGACTTAAAAAATCATTCACCAGAGCCCAAGCCATCACTTCCTCCAAGTCCAATGGGCACAGGGCATAGGACTTGTCAGGCTATAACTGTTTGCTGTTTTTACAGCACTGCTCATGGTTTACTGCCATATTCAACAATGACAGGAACAGTATATCCAAAAGTATTTTTAAAGAAGTAACTCTTTATTTAACCCCTACCTGTTAATGTAAGTAATCTGAACCTTACAATGGCTTTAGAGATGCAGAGTTCTGAATTCAGAATTCCTCTGAGTTCTTGCTAAGAGGTTGGTAATTATTTTCTGATTTCTTTCATCACTTGCTCCACTGCCAAAAAAACTTTCTTTTCATGGACTAAAATTGCTTTGCTGTAGTTTGAATGGTCTATCAAACGCGGTTGTAAAAAAAAATATTAAAAACTTCATGATGCTAAAGAATATTCTTATAATGATCCCAAAGTTACAACATAATTATTTTACTAGAAGTACTTAAATCTTCTAGCAAGAGAAAGAAATGCTGTTTTAATTATTTGCACCAGCAGCAAAAAGGTAGACCATCACAAAAGAAGTGTACATTTTTTCATACAGTTGGAAGAAGGCTGGTGGAAGAAATGGGAAAAAGTATCATTTATTATGGCAATGATCAACAGAGATTAACAGAGACAACACAAGATTAAGTGTTTCCGCACAGGTACAATGTGTTCTGCTAACATTTTACTCATTTTGCTCACTGAACAAAAACTTGTACATAGAGAAAGGTACCAAAAACCATTCGGTGAGCAGCTGAAGCACAAGACAGAATGGGGTACTTCTATGTATTGAAGTTAAGACACTTTAAATTCAAATATAATTCTTGGCATATTTGATCGTACATACATCCTTTTTTTTTTTTAATTAAAAGAGAAAAAAAGAAAACAAAATGACCACTCATATATTAAATGTAACATAAGGAATGGGGGAACAGATCAGGCTCCGAGCCACTCCTCTCCCAACTCTGTAACTGCCTTGCAGAAACCGAAGGCGAGGCCAGGAACTGCTGAGGTGAGGAA